CCAGCCCATGTTTTTATTCTTTTTTATGATTTATTTTTTATCAGTTTTACATTTACTCACATGAGTATACACTGTTTGGGCCACCTCCCCTTCTCTCCCCACAACCCCCATATGTTTTTATTCTTAAGAAATACCTTCTTTAATAATTGCCTCTCCTTTGTTTCTTCAAGTCTGATTTTCTGAAATATGTGTTAATCAAGTCAGATGCTGAGCATCTATATGCCCTCTTTGTAGCAGGGAGGAGGATCAGAAAAAAACAGACTAGGCCTGAGTCCTGAGAAAGCAGGGAGGTAGGGATGGCATAGCAGAGAGAGAAAACCTGAGAAATCTGAACATGAGAAAGGTCATGTAGCACTAGGGGGGAAACACGTAGCACTAGGATAAAGTAGCCAATAAAATTAAATATAACCATATATGGATTAGACCTTGCTTTTTGCTTCTGTAACCTGCTTGCAAGGGTATATAAAGTGAGGCCCCTTTGTTCTCGGGGCTCAGCCTTTGGACATGAGTCCACTGAGTCTGTGCTGGCACAATAAAACATTGCTTCCTGTTAATTGCCTCAGAGTCCTGTTTCTCAGCTAGCAAACTCCCGCAACGCCTTACTTTCATGCTTTTCTTCTCTTTTTGTTCTTTATTCTGGGAGACTTCCTTTCAGTATTCTGCTGATTTTTTAAAATTATTTTTTGCTTCCAAAACCTTTGTGTCTTCTGATGGTTCATCTTTCATAGTTTCTGACTTAGTCTGTAGCACAGTTTTGTAGATAGAAGGTCATGTTGAATTTTCCGGGTGATATTAGCATTTTATGGTATAGGTTCTCTTCTCTTTCTTCAATTGGCTTTCTTTCCACCTATTTTTGCTTTGTTCACTCTGGCCTTTCACATTCAGATTGTTAGTTTTCTTCAGACTTCTGGGGGTAGGTATTGTGTCCATTCATACTTCCAAAACTAAAACAGGCTCACCAGCCTGGATGCTGGCGTGGGCCACTCCTATCATGCACTGTTTCTCCAGGTTCCTTCTCCCTCGCCAGCAGCAATGTGTGTACTCAAGCAGGGGGTAGTAGCTGGCCACCTTTATTTGGGATTTTCTGGTAGAGAGCAAGAGGACAGGTTGGAAAACACCCAAAAACTTTCCTCAAGGGCACAAATTCTTACAGTAGAAGCCTGAGGCCTTCCCAGAAGGCTCTTAATCTCTTTAGAAAACAGCCTCTGTTCTTAGCCCTGACAAGAATGCAAGGTCATTTGTCTTTTTATTTCATGTATGTAAGACATGAAGGGCCCAGGAGCCCACCCTTAATGACAGCTCTACAGAAGGAAAGCCAGATAGAGCAGGTTGACTGTCATGCCAGAAGCCAAACTCCCTTTCCTGGGCACTTCTCTCTTGCGCTTGTTATTTTTCTCTCACCCTGCCCCTGCCTTCAAATCTGGCTTCCTACATACTTTTAAGAGGATGGAATGAATGACAAGACAATAAGGAATTATTAGGCCACACCTGAAGGAAAAGACCCAGAGAAGTGCTTTAATATGGATACTGCTTTTGTCAACAACATTTTCCCATTGGTTAAGGGTAACTGTAAAATTTGACATCTTTATGGAGTAAAAAGGAGGAGATTAATCCAGATTTTAAGCAAGGGTTGGGAATCCTTGCTACAAACTATTCTCTCAAACTGAAGTTGACTTGGAAATGGAATAGCCCATTTGCAGTGTAACCCAGTTGAGTCTTGGAATACCCAGAGAAACTCCAGACTTGAACTTGTTTTATTGTGGTCCAAGACTTACAATAACCTCAGACATAAGTGCTAATCCTTTCTGGCATAAGTTCAGATGGACCCTGATTTACAAATTTCAACTTTACCATGGTATTAAAGTGACACATATTCATTAGTAATCATACTTAGCATTTTGATCTTCTATTGGACTAGTGATACATAGTATGGCACTCTTTGGAGGTGCTGAGCAGTGGCTGTGACCACAGCCACCAGTCAGTGCTGTAGACATAAGTGAAGTCATTGTTGTGCTACTGTTTACTGTGCTGCTAGGCAATGACACTTGTGGTGGTTTTTCTTCACTGTGACAAATGCCTGAAAGAAACAATTAAAAGGTGGAAGGGCATAGTGGAACAGCTCACCTCATGGCATGTAGGAAGCACAGAGTCAGCGATGGGCTTTCAAACAAGATATACCCCACAAGGACATGCCGCTAGTGACCTGCTTCCTCCAATCCTAGCTGGATTAATATATTATAATGATTAAGTCAGAGCCCTCATCATCCAATCCCTTTTCAATGATTGGATCTGCCCCCTGGGGACCAAGCCATAACAATATTTGATGGGTTAGGAGTATTAAAAGCATTTTTGACTGCAGTATTTTCAGTTTATGAAGGGTATATGTGGATATAACCCCATTATAAATTGAGGACCACCTGTGTCTTCAAAGCACATCATTTTCAAATACAATGCCCCGCAAAAAGATAGTCAGGCACTGACCCAAATTAGTTTCTATGAGCAAAAAGCAGACTCTCAGAGACAATAGATGTTTGAATTGTCAGATATAGATTTTAAAAACACAATGGTGACAATTTAAAAAAACAAAGGACAAGACTGAAGATATCTTCAGATAATTGGAAACTATGAGAAGTAATGGCAAGAGGTTGGTAAGTGTAGAAGATGTGTCAGCATTAAATAACTAGAACTGATAAACTGTGAACATTTACTATATATCAACTGTGTTGGTCTGCTAGGGCTGCTGTACCAAAACAGCACAGATTGGATGGCTTAATGCGAGATCTTGAAAAACAAAATTTTTTTTCTTATTTTCACACACTCAGCACAACATAGAAAACTTCTGAGACCAAATGTATGGAGATTTTCTTCACACACCAAACAATTGTCCAGTGGACAGCAACTGAGTATCCCAACATTCAACTTTGCCATTTTCAGCCCCACAAGCCTGCCACACTCCAGGCACCATTCACAAGTCCCAGGCTGTGACCTGTGCTTCTGACCAACTGGCTATAAATTGGGATTCTTGTGACCTCCACCTCAGGTTTTGTCATTTCCAGAATGGCTCACAGAACTCAGGGAAACTCTTTATGCTTAGAATTGCAAAGAATATTACAAAAAGGTACTGGTGAAAGGTCAAACAGGAGATTCACAGGAAAAGTATAAAGCTTTCATTTTCTGGGAACACTCTCCAAGTGCCTCCATGTGTTCTGAAACTTGGAAGCTATCTGAACTCTGTTCCCTTCAGTTTTTATGAAGGCTTCATTCCACAGGCATGACTGACTACAACATTGACAACTGGACAACTGGTGTCAACTCAAACCTCTCCTCCCTTGAGGTTGGGGGTGGGACTGTGTATCAGGAACCAGGAGCAGATTATATAGTTTATAAAATTATAATGTTATAGTTATGTCTTTTTTTCATATGAAAACAACAGTCATTTATTTTCTCACAGTTCTGGAGGTTGGAGGTTCAAAATCAAGGTGTTGGCAGTTTTTTTTTTCCTTTTGTTTTATTCATATGTGCATACAATGTTTGGGTCATTTCTCCCCCCTTTCCCCCGCCCCCTCCCTTACCACCATCCCCTCCCTCTCCCCCCCACCCCTTCGCTACCAGGCAGAAACTATTTTGCCCTTATCTCTAATTTTGCTGAAGAGAGAGTATAAGCAATAATAGGAAGGAATAAGGGTTTTTGCTGGTTGAGATAAGGATAGCTATACAGGGAGTTGACTCACATTGATTTCCTGTGCATGTGTGTTACCTTCTAAATTAATTCTTCTTGAACCAACCTTGTCTCTAGTTCCTGGTTCCCTTCTCCTATTGGCCTCTGTTGCTTTAAAGTATCTGCATTAGTTTCTCTGCATTGAGGGCAACAAATGCTATCTAGTTTTTTGGTGTCTTACCTATCCTCACCCTCCCTTGTGTGCTCTCACTTTATCATGTGATCAAAGTCCAATGCCCTTGTTGTGTTTGCTCTTGATCTAATGTCCACATATGAGGGAGAACATACGATTTTTGGTCTTTGGGCCAGGCTAACCTCACTCAGAACGATGTTCTCCAGTTCCATCCATTTACTTGCGAATGATAACATTTCATTCTTCATGGCTGCATAAAATTCCATTGTGTATAAATACATTTTCTTAATCCATTCGTCAGTAGTGGGGCATCTTGGCTGTTTCTATAACTTGGCTATTGTGAATAGTGCTGCAATAAACATGGGTGTGCAAGTGCCTCTGGAGTAACCTGTGTCACATTCTTTTGGGTATATCCCCAAGAGTGGTATTGCTCCAAATTTTTTTCCAGAGTGGTTGTACTAGTTTGCATTCCACCAAGTGTTGATGTCTTCTGAGGCTTCTTGTTACATCCCATGGCCTCTCCTCCCTGTGTGTTCACCCCTGGGGTTTCTCCCTCTTCTCATTAGAACACCAGTCTTTTTGGATTATGACTATCCTTATGACCTCATTTGACCTTCATTATCTCCTTAATATCTCCCTATTACTGTTACCAACCAGGACTATTTTGCCTACCTGCATTGTATGTCGATCACTGAAACAATGAGTTTTGCAAAAGAGAGTTTATTCATGAGGTGGCCAAGTGTGGATATTTGAGAGCAAGTTTTAAATCCATCTCCCCAAGGATAAACTTTATGGGATACAGAAGCAGGGTCATTGAAGGAATGAAAAAAGGTGATTGGAATTGAAGCAAGCAGTGGTGTAGCATGTATCATCATTCTTTATAGCTCTTTCACAGGATGCATATTCTGAAAATGTGGCACTAGCATGATCTGAAGGTTTAGTTTTCAACCCCCTGACCTCAAAGAAGTCACCCACTGGACAACTGCACAAGGCCACGTGTAAAGTCAATGATTCAACAATAGCGGCCTCAGATCCATGAAAAGTAACCCAAGCAACTGTGTATCTCCACAAGTCACACATCAGATGTATTATTTATAGGAAAGCTAGCAGGAGACTAATATTGCTTTGCTAAACGCCCCCCCCCAAAGTTGGTGATTTTATTATTTTTTTATTTTGCAATACTGGGGCTTGAACTCAGAGCCTTCACCTTGAGCCACTCCACTAATAAATTTTGGTGAGGATGTGGTAGAACTGGAACCATCACACTCTGCTGATGGAAATGCAAAATGGTGGGACTGCTTGAGGTAGTTACACATAGGGCTGTCATGTGACCTGGGCGATCCACTCCTACCTATGATAGCAAGAGAAATGGAACCGTGTTCACAAAACTTGTTCATGAGTATTTATTCATAACATTTCTTCATCAATGTGTTATTCAGAAAGGACCAATCAAAGGCGAAAATGGCCCAAAGATCCACCAGGGAGGAATGAACAAAAACTGTGATGTATTTATACAATAAATACTGGCAATAAAAAGAAGTGAAATACTGATGCATGCCATAACATGCATATTGATTTGCTAGGTTTCTTGTTTATTTGTTTTGGTGGCACTGGGGCTTGAACTCAGGGCCTCAAGATTTTATAATAGATTCTAAATTTCTTGTCTTAGCCTCCCAGGTTCTTGCCAATCTCTTGAGTTTCTGCTTTGCACCCTATGCTCCACTCCAGCTCTCTTTTTGTTTCTAGAGTAACTCAAATACCTTATGGCAGGATTCCTTCTACCCCTAGAACAGTCTTCCCTCTATGACTTCCTGGTAGTCTACTATCACAAAATATTACCCTATACCTCCTGCAGGAAATCTTGGCCCTCTGTGTTAGTCAGTTTTCCACCACAATAACAAATACCAGAGATAAGCAACTTACAAAGAGAAAAGGCTCATGGTTTCAGAGGCTCCAGTCCATGATTGGTTGGGCTCACAGCTTTGGGCCGGTGGTGGCACATCATGGCAGGAATGCCTGGCAGAGCAAAGCTGCTCACTTCATAACCTGGAAGCAATAAAGAGAGAATGGGAAAGGACGGGTGTGTGTGCATGTGCATGTGTGAGAGTACACAACCCAAATGATGGGAAGAGCTTTTACTGTTTTGGTCGTTTTCCTACCAAATTTCATTTTCCCAAGTTGGAGTTTACAATGCTACCAATATAATCTGATTTTCCAATAACTCTTTTAACAAAAACAGGATCCTAGTGTGCAGTTGTACTATTTCCAGTATTGCTATGCTGGTTCTTATAGTAACCTTCCTATGAATAGGGTAAAAGACGGACACTGTGTTTACCTCTGGAAGTACCAGCAAAAATCCTGAGTGGACAAGTGTGAATCTGGGTGCTCAAGTGCTTCAAAATATTAGACTCAAACATGCCTTAGGAACAGCTTGGTGACTTTTTTAAGGATCAGAGATCTTTGTTGTGTGAATGTGTCAGTCTTACAGTTCTTATATTTCTTTTACCTTCCTTTTTTTCCCCCTTAAATTTACTAACTCTTTGAAAAGATATTGCCCTCAGCTCCTCTAAGGAGATTTTCTATGTATTGATTTTTTTCTTATAGGGTTGTACTTTATCAAACGCCTTTAGACTTAGATTTTGTTTATAACAATAATTTTGTTCTTTCCTAATGCCCCTTTCAGATTTCACATTGAGACGCAGAAGAGATAGCATTAAAATTATTGTAATTCATCCCAAACATGTCAAGTGAAAGACATTTTTTATTTTCCTTTCTAAAAACAAACATTAAAAAACAAAGCCTGGAGGGACTGATGGGTGGTGACAGAGGTGGAATTCTAGAAATCCAGTAGATTCAGGATAATCAAAGCCTTCTTTGTAGAAGAAAGAAGCGGGGCTTCTTATTATTAGCGGGGCTTACAGTATCAGGAGACTGGAGAGTAAAGAGCAGGTCACTACAAGCCTGTGACTTTCTATCTTGTAGGGATCTTGCCCTGTGAAGTTTAAATGAACAGAGGTTTCAAAAGAAATAGGGTAGGTACACATTAGTGTAAGTGTCTCTGCCGGTGGAAGACAATGCATGCCTCAAGGGGCTCCTTTCAGCCTCAGGGAGGACAAGGGACAGCATCACAGTACTCCTATGGGCTAGGGTGGGGCAGCCCAAACTGCAGGAAGCTTACCTTTGACCACTGATTCCGACCTTTTGGCCTCAGTGAGGCCCTCTGGAAAAAGAAAACAACTGAGTGACTCCCAGATATTTCTGTTTATATGGTTGTATCTATGGGTATTCACCATCTTAGAAATTAGGCCTAGGAAAAATTTAAAACATTTAAAAATAGCAAAAAAAAAATCCATTGCATGTCACTTTAGTATGTTATGAAAAAATGTATTTTCCAACAAATTAACGAGTGGCATTATTTAAAACTAGCTCAACAGAAGACAGCTGAATGTCCTTTGGGCTTTTGTAGCCCAGGTTGGGCCCCTGGGCCTCGGCGCCCCAGGTCTGCCCGGCCCTACGCCGATCCTAGGGTTGGCCGGGGTCCTGGGGCCAGTCGGGTCCAAGGGTCAAGTGGGGTCCTAGGATCAGGCGGGTCCTAGGGTCAGCGGGATCCTGGGGTCAGGCGGGGCCCGGGTGTAGACTCCGTTTCCCTCTCAGGACCAAGGCTTCTCTAGGGGCTGGAGTGCATCCTAGGACCGCTCGCCTTCTGGAAGTAGGCAGGGCCTGCTGAAGCCGGGATGCAAGTCCACGAGCGAGGTGACGCGGGCGGCGGCTCCCCAGTAACCGGGCAGAAAAAGGCGCTGGGAGCAGCGGCTCGGTCTAGCCCGTTACATAACCGTGGCGCATCAGCGCGGCTCCTGGCAGAAACAAAGCGCTCACCACGGCCGCGGCTCCCGGAGCGCGGCGGGGCGACGTAAGCCCGGCGGGGACGGAGGCGCGCCCGCACGGCGGCAGCGCGCAGACGCGGGCTCGCGGAGGTGCGCGCGCACGCAGACAGCGCGCAGGCGCGGCGGCTGCGCAGGCCGCAGCTCCGAACGGTAAACAGTGGCGTCACGTGACTCCCGCTCCTCTCCCGCGCCGCCGCCGCAGGCCGATGGCTGCGGGGTCTCGCGGTGCCGCACGCTCTCCACGAGGCCAGCGACCCTGGGGCCTGGGGCGGCGGCGGCTGCAGCGAGGCCTGGGCGGGCAGCGCGGAGGTCGGGAGTAGCGGCGGCGGCGGCGCGGCCCCGAGGACCTGCGGCGGTGGCAGCGACGCCGACGTCCTGCGCGCACCCCCTCTCCACGGCACTGCCGCCCCCTCCCCCCGGCGGCGGCCACCATCTTCCTCCGCTGCCAGAGGTAGCGCTCGTCCGGCGGAGCTGGGTGAGTGGCGGCGTGGCCGCGGCCGGCAGCCGGCCCCTCCCCCGTCCCCGTCCGCACGCTCCGACCGCGCGGCCTCCTTTCGGCTCCGGCCTCCTGTTTGCGGCCTGTTCGGGCTGCTCCGGCTCGGGTGGGGAGGAGGCGGCGGAGGCCGGGCCTGGCCTCTCCCGATCGCCGTCCCGGGCCGCGCGGGCCCCGGCCGGGCGCAGGCCGCCATTGCGCCCGCCGTCTCCTCCCGCGGGCGCCGGGCCTGGCCGGGGGGCGGACGGCGTTGGCGCCGGCCTCGGTGGCGCGCTTTGTGCCGGGGCCGCCGCCGGCCTCCGTGGCAGCCGTGAGCCCTGCAGCCGCTCGGTAACCGGCGCCGCGCGCGGGCGGGGAGAGGGACGCGGGGGCCCGGGGGGATACGGGGGACCGGGGTGCGCACAGTGTTAGGGTCGCGGGGTCGGGGTGTGCACCGGGCGGGGGAGAACGCGCTGCCTTGTCTGTCGCACGGCGGTGGTACGGCCCGGACTGCCCGTGCCCCACCTTTGGGTCGTAAATGCCACTTCCCAGTCTTGACGACCCCAGTGTGACACCGTTAGAGCTGCTTTAGAGTCATTAGTACAAGGTGACAGAATTGGGTGTAAGTGACTCCTGTGCCTTCACATCCACTTATTGCTAATCATTATTCGTAGAAATCAGTTAAAAAGGATCATTGATAACCCAGACGAACTTTACCTCGATATTTTAAGCTTAAAATCGAGAACAACAGCGGGCTACTTAAGGAGGACTTAAAATAGTGTATTAATTACTATTTTGGGGTCGAACTTTGTCTTCCTTTTTTCAATTGGTTGCCTAAGAGCTGCAAAAACTACACCTCAGTTACTCATTCGCTGCCTATCATTTTCAGATTCTTGAATGAAGTGTTTGGTGCTTTGAAAATGTTTTGTAGGTGAAGATTGTGTTTGTGGTAGGAAAGAAACGTGAGTAAAGGGCCAGGGGATTTTTCTATTATAGCATTCTTACGTTGTTATTGTTGTTCTGTAGCACCAAAGGTGTGTGAAGATTGTTGTTTCAAATAGTAAGTTTTCACTTTTTCTTTCCCCACTCACATTTTCTTCTCACTCATCTCTTTGCTAGTCAAGTGTTACCATAATGATTCTCCTCTGCATCTTCGTTATTACTGTTATTTTAGAATGGCTACTCTATTTTGTAGCTGTTGTGACAAGTTAATCGGGACTGTAAGGGGATATTTTTAAGCCACACATTCGGTGAATTCCTTAGCAGCAGGAAAACATTAGGTAGCTAAAATGGACCACTTTACTTAAAAAGAACTAAAATCGTAGATTTTAAGTTTTGACAGTTGTGTCTGTGATGTGTCGAAAGATAATCAGTGAGCCAGTAATGACACCAAAGTTTTTTCCTGTCCTTCCATGCTTTATAGGTCCATATTGAAGACCATGAAAAAAGGAATATACTTTTTTTGCATCCTAGTGGGAGAACAATGAATTTCTCTGTTACACTGAATTAATTACATATTCTGTGTGTTTGGAATAGACCTCAGATAAGTTGCTTATGTTGGTCTTAATGGTGTACTTAAATCTTGTATATTCTTATAAGTCAAATATAAGAGATATGCTCTGTAAGTGTAAAATAGGTTTGGTCAAATAAAAATTTCAAGATAGAAAAGTTGAAATTATTTAAAACCATGTTACTAAAATTTAAATTACATTGAGCATTGAAATGAGCTAGGAAGAGTTGATAGTCTTTGACTTAAGTATCATTGATAAAAGTTGGAAGGCAACAAGTGGCAGTTCGGATTGCTGCAAAATTATCCTTATTTTTGTAGGAGTGGGATTTGAATCCATGGCTTTGTGCCTGCAAAGCATGTGCTCTATGGCTTGAGCCACACATCCAGTCCTTTTTGTTCTGGTTATTTTGGAGATGGGTCTCAAACTGCCTGGGTTGTCCCAGAACTGCTACCCTCCTAATCTTAACCTTCCAAGTAGCTAGGATTACAGGCACGAGCCACTGGAACTCAGTCAGAATTACCTTAAGTGTTCAGAATTTTTACCTAGACTGGGGCATACTTGGAAAAACTAGTGATTGCAAATTATGCATACAATTCTGTGACAAGGTAATAATGGTGTTTGGTTTTTTGATATACTTTGCTGGCTTTTTTTCTCCCTTCAGTACTGGGGTTTGAACCCAGAAGTGCTTGCTAGGCAGGCACTCTACCACTGGAGCTCCCTTTTTTTTGCTTTACTTAGTTTTTAGGCAGAGTCTTGTTTTTGCTGGCTGGTCTCAGACTGCAGTCCTCCTTACATACAGCCCCCTGTGTAGCTGGGGCCACAGGCTCAAACCACTGCTCTGGGCTTAATTTTGTAAGGATGTTAAACTGGATTCCTCTCAATCTCTGCCTTCCAGGTAGCTGGGTTACAGACACAAGTCACCTGTAGCTGCATTTGGCTTTCTTAAATGTGCACGGATTATGTTCTTTATAATTTCTCATGAAGTCCTTTTTATGTATTATTTTTTTCAGTAGATACCTTTTCTATTTTTAGTTGAGAGAATGGAGCATTATTAATGCGTATCAGGTTTTTGTATTATTTGTAGCTACTTCCCATACAGCATCAGGGTGTTCAGGAGTTCTTGACAAGTGGCCGCTAGATTTTTTTTTTTTAATTTTGTTTGGACAGAACATATAGGGATCTTTTCTCATTTATTCTTGGAGCATCCTCTGAGAATCTTGGAAAATCTTTTCAGAAGCACAGACCTTATTTTTTTAAACTACAAAAATGACTTACAAACCATTATACAATTATGATGCATTTTTGAGGAAAGTAAAGAAATTCTTTATTGTCCTTTTATTACACTAGGAAAGGTACTGAGAGTATTGATACGTTTAAAAATATTTGAGGCCTACATGCAGTTTTTGCTCTCAAGGAACATAGTCTAGACTGAAAAACAGGATCTAAAAAACATCAGATGCTCAATCAGTGTATCAGAGTTAAAAAAGGTACTTTCAAGAATTAGTGAAAGGCATATGAGCTTCCAAATGTATAGACTGAAAAATTACTATCATTAATTATGTATTTAACTTAGGCTTTAAAATTTTGTTATGATCATTTGTACAATGAAAAAGAAGTAGAGAAATAGTTGAGATTTCAAAATATTGCTCAGAAGTTTTAATATGTTAGTATAACCTAATTTTATAAGACAGTTTTGAATGATATAATGGATTATACAGAAAGGCTAAACTTAATATTGTGATTAATTAATTTTTATAGTTTATGTGAGTTGGACACATGAAAACATAGAACTTCAGGCTTCAAGAAATACATTGCAATGTTTTTAGCTGATAACTTTGATTTTCCTCCAGACATACAGTTCATACACACTGAGGATAGCCATTTTGCTTTTTTAATGTGTGTATACGGTGGCTAAAGGGATATTTCATGCCTTATTTTGGAAGAAGGGTGTGTCACTTTTGTTTCTAATATTTTTAAAGGTGTCATTGATAATGTTAAAACCATAAAAATTAATATGCTATGTTAGTACATAAAACAGTTTAAAAGTGAGTTCAGGAATCCTGCTGTCTGGGTTCTAATTTGAGAATACTGGATAGGTGACCTTGAAAAAATTATGTAATTGTTTGAGCCTCACCTTGGCCTTCTGTAAGAGAAAAATAATCATTGCACCTACTTTACAGGGTCTTTGCAAGGACCTAATGAAATAGTGCATGCAACACTCTTAGCACCGGCCCGGTGTAGAGTAAGTCCAGCATATTGGCTGGACTCTGTTTACCTGTGCTGTAGTTTTAATGATGAGGTAGTTCCACCTCATCATTCTGTTGCTTCCTAAAATTTCAGTTAGAACGCCACAATAAGTGTAAACTTTGAAATTAAATCCTTCTACTGTTGGCTAATGTAATTCTGCTTTTACCAGTTCCAGCCTCTACTTGATAGTTGAGTTCTTTTTCTGAGTTCTTTAGTTTGCTTTTTGGTCTTTGATATCTTTGTACAGTATACAACTTGGTATGTTACATGTGGTTTTTACTGGATAAATTCACAAAAGAAGTTATAATCCTTGTTTTCCTTCATGAGGTCTTGGCAGTAAAGTGTAACTAGAGACACTGGACCAGAATTTGAAATTGGTGTGTAGAGCAGGTGACTAGGTTCCATTGCTTTGTAGAATTGTACTTTGTAGGGTTGTGTCATGCCACATGGTTTAGCATTTACTAATTTTCCTTGACTCTATCCTAAAAGTATAATCTATAATTCACCCTTAATATTTTTATACTATAGTGGTTAATAACTGACTTTGGTATTATACAGAGTGGATTGTAGTCTGTCATTTATTCTGTTATATTGCCTAAAGCTTTGCTAAGCATTACCAAACCTCTCTTGTAAATTGAGAATATTAATAATGGTATCTGCCTAATTGTGTGATGTGAGGATTAAATATATTTAATATTTAAATATATTTAAATTCTTTAGAACAATGTCCTGTGTGGTATGTGAATTAAACTGTAAAAAGATAACACAGGGTAGTGGTAAACACGTTGACTTTTTCATGAGATTTTTCTTGGGTTCAAATTTTAGCTGTGCCATTTACTATAGAAGGTGGGATCTATGATCCTAATTAAATTTTTGCATACTTAGGATTGTAGTATAGAATTATTGTATTACATGTATTCGTAAATATTGAGCAAAGTTTCTTGGCTTTGGCACTGTTGGCTTTTTTGGCTGGACAGTTTGTTGTGGGGCTGTTTTCCAGTATTATAGTATATTCACTAGATGCTTGTAGTAAGTACCCTCTCCAGTTGTGATGACAGCACGGCTAGGTAGATGTTCTTCAGATGGGCATAGTTGCCTCCAGTCGAGAGTTACTGCTGTAAAGAAAAGCTAGAGCACATTGTTTCAGTACTTTTATTCTTCCACTACTACTGCCTATCAGAAACTTGTTCTTATTAAGCACACCTGATGAACTTGACTGTTTAATTATTATGTAAAGACTGGAAGGCAGCAACTACACTCCATTTCCAGGGCCTTTGCACTCCTAGGTTTTTGCCTGGGTTGCTCTGACCTATTTACATTGATCACTCCTTTACTTCAGGTTTTGGCTAGTATGCTGTCCTGTTAGTGAAGCCTTCATTTTCCATCATACATCTACTGCTATCCTGTTTAATGTTTTTTATGGATTTTGTAATGTCCTGATACATTTCTTTGTTCCCTCATGCATGCACTTGTAGACTACATGAGACAGAGCCACACCTCTAGCCTGCTTTTTTTTTTTTTTTTGGCTAAAAGAAGTGATGTAAAATATATAGGTGTATTTGAAGGTGTTTTTAAAAAAACAAGATACATTTAAAAAAATCTAATTTTAAAGTGAGTTTTGTAGAACAGTTTTTTTCCTTTTGGTACTTTATAAATCTTTTTCCATTCTATTCATACATGAAACACATAGAAAAGAGTATAATTTGGTTTTTTAGTGTAAATTAAATTTTACTACAATATCTATAAGAACATCAGGACATTCGTAATTAGCACATTTTTTTCCCCTTTGCCTGGAATGTCCTCTGATCTTTAGGAAGCTGGTTCACACATCACTCCTTAGCTTTTCTGGCAGTTCTCACTTCGTAGTTTGTCCATGCTTATACTTCACTGTATCTGTTTATCTGTGTGCTGATTTCATTATGAGTTCCTTGAATTTGACATTGGGGTTTCATGGTTACTTACAATACATAGTGCTTTGTAGTAGATGTTTCCTAAGTATGTGAATGAATGAATAATTTTGAATTAAGCAGATTGATTATCCAATTCTGTTACTTAGCTGTGTATATTGTGTTGTCTGTAGACAATAGATATGATTTTGAACCCAGAAATCATTTCTGATTTTAACATACACATTCCCAAATTATTGATACTGGCTTAATTAGATATATGTATATCATTAGCCATTTTAAATGCATTCTAGATAGGCTTGTGTTTTAATTGTTAAACTTAGAGTGCCAAATATGAGGAAGTATTTAAGAAAAACTTGTAGGAAATAGGAATTTAAGTATTTGTATAATTAACAAAGATACTAAAGCAGCTCTTATAATTTTTTTCCTTAAATATATCTGAGTATTTTTGTCTATCTACAGGACTGAGTATCCTCAATTAGCATTTTTCCTTTTTAAGACTTTTATTTTGGAATAATTTTAGATGAATAGGAAAGCTGCAAAGAGGGAAATAGAATTCCTATATACTCGTGATCCAGTTTCCTTGATTATTAACAGTTAGGTAGCATGAGTACCTTTACCAGAACTAAGGTATTATTGTGACCTAAGTTACTTTGTCTTGAGTTTACCAGCTTTCCTACTACTGTCCTTTCTCTATTCCACGATCCAGTCCATATGGCATTTAGTACAATAGTATGTCCTTTTTAAGTGAGTTAGTATTTCTACAATTAACTCGTTTGTTTTCCTTTTTAGAATGAGTTTCTATCATTTTTTTTTATTACTGAGCACTTGATATTTGAAACTGATTTCTTAAAATAACTTTATACTTCTGACAAATGTTATTTTCAATACAGTCTTGTTGGATGGCTGTATGCTATCATTTTTGACATTTTTTTTTTCCTTTTGGGATTGCCTGCAGAACCAGTTGGAATCACATAGGAAAAGTAGTCTCAATTATTTGTAACAATTTTCATTAAAATGTATTCCACATAGTACTAATCTTGTGATGTGTCCTATGTGATTTCCTATGGAAATGTCTTCTTTTGGACTCATACATTTGGGATGCTTTATACTCTACCCTGTCTTACAAGATACCCATTCTCACTGGCCTGCTAAGGTGTTCCCAGCAATGGCAGCTGCTTACTAAACATTTGTGGAATAAAGAAAAAAATATTTTAACAGTGTCTTTGTAACTTTGTTTACATTTGATATTAAAGTTAAAATACACTTTGCTGTAATCAGTGTTTCTCCACTGTTGGTCATGAGAATGCCTATTATTTTAAATCCAAGGAAACGCACTTTATAAGTCACACTAGTTTTGAATAAATAACCATATTGGAAATTTTGATTTGTCTGTCTTATAGTACAGTACAGTATGCTTTATTTTTGGTTTTTAAGGTTGATCTTTAAAGACTAAATTTTATCTGATACTGAGATTAAGAAACAATGCCACAGGCTCTGAAAGCACTTTCAGTGAAGGAGTTTTGGGATGGTTTTACAAATAGCAGTACAATGGGTAAGAAATGGCTCTTTCATATGGGTATTTAGAGTGGGCTGATCTTCACATACAGCTTCTTGATCTTGAGCTGAGTGATAACTTCTGAATGTCTGAACATCTGTGTTAGCAGAACAGAGACTGCAGAAGTGTGTAGAATTTACTAGCTTGTGTTGCTGTGGGAATGAGTGATTTTCCAGTAGATCTTAGTGTACATTTCAGAAGGAAAATTAGTATTTTGTTGGAATTGCCTTTTTTTTTGATTTATCTGAGAAAAAAAGATAACCTGAGTATTGTCAGGGATCTCTTTAAAGGGTTAAAGAGAAAGTAGTTTTGGCTTGTGGTAAGGTTTGGTTTCCAGCACACTTAGATAAATGTGCTCATTGGTAAATGCTAGCACTTTTTTTTTTTTTTAAATAAAGTCAAGTTACAACTACTTGAAGTAATTATACTGGAATTTCTTTGAAGCCTAAAAATGTGTTAGTGGAAGTATTGGTGATGAACTGAAGCTTTCTTAGGTACTGAGATTGTGGAAGCTGTGGGTAGTTCCTCAAGGAATTTATCCTCAGTTTCCATCTGCATTGCTAGCTGTAATTTTCTGTTAATTTAGAGAATGTAGGTAAATAGCTAGTGAGTCAGTGCTTCATTAATATTTCAATGTAAACAAATAGCAAAATTTGAAAACAGGCTGGGAGGTAGTATACATCTGCAATCTCACCACTTAGGAGGTGGAGCGAGGAGGATGCTGAGTTCGAGGTCAGCCTGGGATGTATAGTGACTGTCTCTCAAAAAAACATATAACTGTGAATATGGTAGCTTGCCTCCCTACTGTGTGCAAAGCTTTGGATTTGTTCCCCAGCACTGCCTCCTCCTCCTCTAGTTTTATTTTTGAGAAGAAATACTGAAATTCTATTTAGAACTGGATTTACTTTTGTGAGAGCAAAGACATTTTTCTTAGTCACCCTCCCTTTTTTCTTAACAAAAGGAGGGTCCAATAAACTACATCTATTAAAAATGAATTGATTGGTGAAACATTACCACAGTCTAAACTTAGGGCATTTCCATTGTTCCTCAGTGTCCACTTTTTTTTTTTGGTACTGGGGCTTGAACTTAGAGCCTACACCTTAAGCCAGCCCACCAACCCTTTTTTTTGTAAAGGGATTTTTGAGATAGGGTCTTGCAAACTATTTGTCTGGGCTGGGTTCAAACTGCGATCCTCCTGACCTCTGTCTGCCTCCTGAGTAGCTAGAATTATAGGTGTGAGCTCCTGGTGGGTGGCCAAGTATCCACTTTTTCTTTGAAGTTTGTCCTTCCCTCACCTGCAGTCCCAGGCAACCACTGATTTGCTGGAAAACTGGAAAATTGCATTTAAAGAGTTTTTGATAAGCCAAATCTTTTCAGCTCCTTAGCTCAGTGTGAGAGGGTAATAGTTGCTAGGCATGGATTGGGTGCCTGAAACCTGGGTTTGAATCATGGATATGTTTTGTGACTTAGGGGAAGACCTTTTAAATTATTTAAGTTCATTTTTGTTGTAAAACAGATCCTATTTATGATTGAGGGTTAAATGATGAAAATGTAGGTAAAATGTTTAGCATAGTATGTAATACACAATTAACGTGTCTATACATGTAGCATATACCCAGTAAGTAGAGTATATGTGAACGTCTCCTCATTTTTGTAGGAGGAGGAATTCAAGGTCAGTTTTAAAAAAGTTTTTGCAGCCAGGTGCTGGTGGCTCACACTGTAATCCTAGATACTCAGGAGGCACTGATCAGGAAGATTGAGGTTCTAAATTAGCCTTGGGCAAATAATTAAGGAGACTCTATAACAAAAAAGGGCTGGTGGCGTGGCAGAGCACCTGCCTACCAATAGCAAGTGTGTCAGTTTTATTTAAAACCAGTATTGAGAGTAATTCAACTTTTGATAATTGAGGTTCCTTTAAGAACTTGAGATGTCTTGCTGAATACTATCTTCGTTTGTAGGTTCAGTTCCAGTAGATCACACATAACTCACTAAATTTAAATACATGATATATTGTTGTATTGTCATTTATCTCATTTCCTCCTAAAAGAGAGCCCCAGGGAAAAAAGTGTGTATGTGCACATCTTTATGTGCATGTGCATAATTTTTAAGTTCTGATTTGTTGGGTTTAGTTAATAGCTTCTTTCCATTTTCCTGTATGCCCACAATGAAAGTTTTTTGCCTATATATTACGTTTAAATAGTTTAAATGCTTTGTAAATAAAACAAGGCTACTTTACAGTTTTAATAGGGGTGGAGTCATTTAAATAATTTGATTTTAGCTTTTTTACATGGAGTTATGTCAAAAGCAGTGTTTGATTCTTAATTTATGAAAAGATTATGGTTCAAAACATAATGGTTTTTATGGTTTAAGCCATGTAATTCTTTCAGATGTGTCAAATAATGGACTATATACATATTTTTTCTTAATAATGAATAAACTTTTCACAGAATTTCTGGTAAAATAATATTCGACATGCATTATAAAGATTATTCAGTAAAAATTTGTTCCACATTTCCTAATGTATATTTTAAAACCAGCAAGATTTTTAAAAAAAATTTAGAAGTGTGTTTTTAGACTCAAAAATATTAAAATAATTTGGTATTAGGTGATTTTCAGTTGATAGCTTTATTTCTTATGGTATTTTTTTTGTCTTTCTATAGGGCTGAAAGACACACAGAAGTCTTCATGGATATAGTTGATACATTTAATCATTTAATTCCTACTGAACACTTAGATGATGCCCTATTTCTAGGATCCAACCTGGAGAATGAAGTCTGTGAGGACTTTAGTGCAAGTCAAAATGTCTTAGAGGACTCGCTGAAGAACATGCTCAGCGATAAGGATCCTATGCTAGGATCTGCAAGTAACCAGTTCTGTTTGCCTGTTTTGGATAGCAATGATCCCAATTTCCAGATGCCTTGTTCAACAGGTAATTCTTACTTTTTTTTTTTTTAGTCTGCAACTTAAAATAAAATTTCAGCAGCAGTTTTTTTTTTTTTTTAATATGGTAAGGGTAGTGAATTTAGGATTCTTTTCTTTCCTTTACGTTTAGAGCTGCTTTTCCAGGCATCAAAATTAGAATTTAAACTAAATTTTCTTCCAAGGAATATGGAGTTGTTTTCAAAGGATATGGTGTATTTAGGTAGAGTGACCATATAATTTTTATGCAAAGTGGGTTACTAGTGAGTTATAGGGAGTGCTGTTAATATGTCATTGCAACAGGTGTAAATTGAGATTTTCACTGGCAAATAGAGATTGCTTGGCAAATTGGGACAAGTCACCCTAGCCAGGCCTGCTGGAGTCCAGGCTGGGAGTTACGTCCAGTCATTCTTTGATCTATTCAGAGTCTTCAGTATTTTGTCTATGTATCTCAAAACCAGAGAAAGAACTCCACCTGTGCAGCCCTGTACATACAGCCACATATAGCTGTTACCTCCTGAAATGAATGTATTCCTTACTGAGACGATGTCAAATGCACAGCCACATTAGATTTTGGACACTTAGGACGAAGAAAAGATTGAAAAATATTTTTTTATCAGTTTTATGTTGATTATGTGTTAAAGTGATACTTGGGATATTTTGGCTAAATAAACTATGAAAATTAATGTTACCCATTTACTTTTTGCATGTTTGTTTTATTTTGAGTCTGGGTTTACCATGTTGCCTGGGCTGGGTTCGAACGATCTTTCTGCCTCAGCTACCCGAATAGTTGGGACCTCTATGCCAGGCATTTTTTTACTTACTTAATTTTTTTTTTTCAGTGCTGAAGATTGAACCCAGGGCCTTGTGTATGCCAGGCAAGCACTATACCACTGAGCTATATCCCTACTAACCTTTGATGTTTGTATTTTAAACAAGTGGCTACTTGAAAATTTGAAACCACATGTGGCTTGCATTATATTTCTGTTGGACAACAGCTGCTCTAGGATCTATAATTGAAGTAGCTGAAAGAATAAGAATAGTAACTTTCTGTAAGGCTAAAGTGTTTTTAGTAAGAAATTACTCTGGAGCTGGGTGTGGTTTTTATGCCTTGTAATCCAGCACTTGGACCAACACAGGAGGATCTCACCAGCACTGGCTACATATTGAGACCCTCTCTGCAAAAAAAGGCAAAAAAGAAATTACTTTAGTGCTAATGTTAATATATAGATTTTTTTTTTCTTTTATAAAGGAAAGAAAATATTAGTATAGACTTTGGGAAATGAGCTCTTCTGTAATGAAGGTCAATAAGCTCACCTGGAGAGGTAAGGCTTCCTTTCCTCACCATTCCCTAGCGTAGCTCTCAGGTGTATGTGATGTTAGTTTGTTTTCCAACAACTCTTGACTTGTCTTGAAATGTAGGTTTTCATTTTCTTTTAATACTTTGATACTTTAAGTTTATATAAATTAATACTTAAAGTTTGGAATGGCTGGTTTGCCGTTCACCCATAAATTTGTCAGTTTACTCTGGATTAGGGTTAAGGTTAAGAATTTTACATTTTAATTACTCCTGATCCTGAGGTGTTTTGAATTTCTTGCTAATGGTGTATTTCTGAATTGTTTACATTTTGTTGTGTTATCACATAGGTTTACATTGTTCTTGTTATATTTTAAATGTTTTACAGCTTTTAAAATTTTGTTCAATGTATGCATTGTTTATGTTTTTTGGTGCCTGTGTCAGTACAAGTAGTTCTAATTATCTTCATTGTTAGGTATCTTTGACAGTTAGGTTGTATGCACACAGTTTCCCAGGTTAGTCCAACTTCAGGAAAACAGTCATTTAACACCTGTGTACTTGTCGCTAAATTACAGTTGCCGTATGTTGCAGTGGGTCTGGAATTGACACATATATCATCCTGTTTGATATTTTTAACTCATAAAATTCTGGCCCTTTAGTAATACCAATATTCCTACTTGCTGTCCTGTTTAAGAAATTGATTTCTATTGATGAAAAGTTTTTACTGTTGAGAAAGTCTTCAGTTTTGGCAAACGTCTTTTTCTATTAGAAGGCTTAATTGAAATTGAGGTTTGATTTATTTTACTTGTTTTAGATTGTTATCTTTTAAACTTGACTTAAGTAGAATTACTTTCTAAATTTTCCTATATTAAATTTTGTTATGTAGATTCTGTAACAACTGTTTGTGTTCACATACATGTAGCATACATGTTGATAAGATACCAGAGTGTGTGAGGGAAACTTACTAATAAAGCCTTTCTGTCTAGGGCTATTTAAATTTCTCTTTGATTGCTTCAGAGTTCTTTTTGTCCTTTTGGGATAGTTGGTTCAGTGAAAGGCCCACACATTTTTTAATGAGAGCAAGATGGAAAACATTCTTAAAACATTTAATTCTTTGTTTTACAATAGTACTAGATTTAAGAAAGTTTCAAAGAAGAAATCTTACTGTAACTATTAATGAAAATACTTCAGCTATTCACAAATTATTTTGGCTTTTTGTTACAAAATAAAAATGACATAGTTCTTACTCAGATGTTTGTACTTGGCTTTGTAGGTTTTTACTAATTGTTTTGACTGAAGCTAAGCAGGAAAATGTTCTTATCTATATTTCTCAGGGGAGAGCTATAGATTGTGGTTATTTTGTAACTTTGATTTTCACAGTGCTATAAAGTTAGCAAATAAAATAACTGGTTTCTTGTTTTCTGTTAGGCTGAACCAGGTTGTTTTCTGTACTTGATAAAGCCTAATTTTTTGTTGGAATAGTGGCTTGCAATATTACATTAGTTGTCTCCAGAAATCATGCAGTAGTTTCAGAAATTAGGAAGTCAGAACAGGGAAGTTTACTTTTAGCACTCTGTCACATGTACAAAAGAAGGGATGCTGCTAATTGTTTGATTTTGAGTGATAGCAGCAGTAGAATTGTGATCCTTTTGTTGTGTGTGTGTGTGACTAAGGTTTGAACTCAGGGCTTTGCACTTGCACAGCAGGCATTCTACTGATTGAGCCACACCTCCAGTCCATTTTGGTCTGGTTATTTTGCAGATGTGGTCTCACAAACTATCTGCCCAGGCTGGATTTAATCTCCCAAGTAGCTAGGATTACACATGTGAGCCACTGATTCCCAGCAAGTATTAATTACCTTGTCTAATGGCAGTGTTTACATACAGCTTTTAGAAGAGCTGCCCAGTAATATATTTTTAAAAAAACTCCACTTAGTGAGGAAACCCATGAAGTGTTGGGGAAATATTTGAACTTGATGATCAAATCAATTACTGGTTTTCTGAAAAAAAACCTTTTATTTTATCCTTACAGGAGAAGTAATATTTTTAAAGTAATATGTTTATGATGCTGAATATGATAATATCTGACACTGGGAATATATTAAAAATCATTGGAATGGTATCTGCTGTCTGTCAGTGTCATGAAGACATGGTTATTTTATCCCTTGTTTTATAAGCAGATATTTCCTCTTTAATTGAATCTGTGATTCATAAATGTGAAAATGTCTTGTTTTTATGATTCATTTCTTTATATGATACTTTGAAAATAAATGTTTGGGTGTAATTCCATTTATTTAGTTTTTGCCATGTTGATTAGTGCTGTCTAAAGACCAGGAAGGCAGACACATTGTGGATAGATGGGTATGCAGAGCACCCTTTTATTCAAATAGCTCCTCTCCTGTGAAACAAAGATGTCCTTCCCAGCCTGTACTTTGGCTGCAAAATTATTCACTAAATTACATGAGTAAACTTATGTCTATGACATAGTTTTTAGAGATTAAGCAGATCAAAAAGTCATTGAACTCCAACAGTTATCCTGCATACTTGTAAGAGTTGATTCATATTGTGTGTGTGCTTTTTCAGTTGTAAAGGAAAGTATCTGCTAATATGCATGTATGATTATTGCTTTTCTGTCATGAATACCATTAGTGTTATTTGACACGAAGCACTGTTTGTTTAAGAAAGAATTCTAGCGTTTGCTTCTTTCATCCTGACAAAAGTATTGTAATATGTGTTGATTGGTTTTACAAGTTTCTCAGTATAGTGTAATTTAGTCCCACTTTTGGCAGTTTTTTAGTTGACATTATAATTGTACATATTTATGGAATTGTACATATGTATGGGGTACAGTGACAACTCAATACATGTGCACAGTGTGTGATGATCAGATCAGAATAATTAGCATTTACATCTCACCACCGTTTCTTTGTAATAGCAGGCTTTGCATTCATGTAATAAATTGTCATAAACTAGTCACCCTGCGGTGCTCAGAACACCAGAACTCACCCTCTGTATCTGGTTCCTGCTATCTAGTCTCCTCTTACCCCTCTTCCCACTGCTCTCCACTTCCACAAAACCAACTTGTTCAGCCTGCATGGGAGCAGAATATGCAGTATTTGTCTTTCTGTGGCATTTAGAGTGCAGACTTTTAAGTTGCACTTCTGTGATTGGGGGACTTCATCATTAGAGACAATTCATCTGTGTTATATTAGAAAAAATAATATGGCACTTGTTCTGTAAAATGGTTTGTGACCTAGTATGTCACTTCTCTTTATTGAGACCATTTAAAAATGGCATTCCATGTCATAGGGACAAGTAGTATTTCTGTTTAATTTGTTCTTTTCCATAGTGTTGCAGGCTTTCCCCAAGTGCCTAGTTATTTGGAATTTGCATTTATTTGTTGATGTTTAAATTGGAGGGAACTAGGAAATTGAGACGAATTTTGCTGTGGAATAAATGATCTTTAGCTAGATAGCCTGCAGTTATTTTGGGAAACTTCTAAATACCAGAATGCAGAGCATCTTATTATTAGGTAATAACTGTCCTTTTTAGGATTAGGAAAAGGTTTTCTTGCTAGGTGATGAGGTTGGAGGAGGGAGTCAGCTTAGCCGTATAAGTGCTGAAAGGTCCTGAGCCACTACTTGTTTGTAGCCCAGCTCATCTCTTAGGCCCGCCAGCATGCATCTCTGGACATGCTAAGCATTTATGGACAGG